ACACACACACAGCCGCTTGAAAGTTTGTGAACCATTTACAATTTTCTATATTTCTGCATAAATGACCCAATTCATCATCAGCACAGAAATGTAACACTGGGTCATTTTTCTCAAATAAATGACAAAGAAAATATTTGTGTCTCATTTGTTTGATTGGGTTCTCTTTGTCTACTTTCAGGGCTTGTGCGAAAATCGGATGATGAATTAGGTCACATTTATGCAGAAATATGGAAAATTGTAAAGGGTTCACAAACTTTCAAGCAGCACTGTATACACTTATATATATATATATGCAGTTAGCTATAAGTTGCTAAAAAAAATCAGCCAAGTATATTGAAGCTATTTGAGGGAGCAAAACAATTATACAATTTAAAACATTACAAAAACTAAAATTAAGTGGGATAACAGTTTAAACATTTGACGCATTTTCCTCAAATATAATTTAAAATTGAATAAAATATAGTGATCATTAGCATTTATCTAAACATTTATTTTGGACGTTTGTGAACACTTGATCAATTAAAGTCATGATTAAATTATTTCATTAGCAAAAGGGTAAAGATAAAAGCCTATTAGCCTCCATTTATATAATGGCGTAACAAAATATTCATCATTACTCACCAATAACAGCATCAGTGACTGACTTGAGCCGTTTGTTCAGACAGGGTATATTCTGGATGGATCCATTCTTGGAAGTGAAGACTAATGAAACACATGAATCAGTAAAATCAAAAAGGACATGGACAAGCATTGTGAACCTGGACTTAACGCACAGAAGACAGTGTTCCCACTCTACTGAAACAGTACCAAGTGGTTACTGTATCCCAAAAACAAAACTAGCTGAGTGCTTAAAGCACCCATTCATTAGTTACTCCCAGGCCTACATAGAGGCACCAGTTACACTTGATGGAAAATTGTGGTCAGACAAGTGAGCCACAACTCTCTGCGCTTAAACGCTGAACAACATATACAAACTCAACAGATTTGAACGAAGACTTTGAAAAAGCTGCTGTGGCGCCCGCTGTTTTTCTGTCCACAACCCCAGTACGATGACAAAAGCACACCGGTTGAGACGTCAGCTGATCACGTTGCAGCAGTGTAACTGTTCTAATTGAGTTCAAGCCTAAAGACACCTGAAATATAATGTATTTCATGTTAACTTTCCTTAGGCAGCTTAATGCATGCCCTGCGCAAGGCGCCACAATCAAAACAGATAGAAGACCCTAAGCGGGCATATAGGGACTAAAGGTGGGATACCCAACCTCCGGGTGGTACGTGGATATTGACCTGACGTTAAAGCACATGGCAAGAGCAGGTCTTGCTTTTTCTAATGTTGCTCGAAGGAGCTCAATGTTGATGTTTCTAATGTTGTTCAGCACACCGCAGTTCAAATAGTGCATAACATTGGTCTGAAAAAGGTGCTAGTTTGAGAGCTGTGCTTGTGTGTTGTGTTCAGGGTTGAAGCTCCAAAGCTCTGAAACACCCAGAAGTGGCACATGGCAATAACATTACCAAGGCCAGGCACAGCTGAGGGGCAGAACTGAAGGGTTCTGAGGGCGGCACTTACCTATGTCACCACTGAAGAGATGCTGCTTTTTCTGTCAGACGACAAATAAAATCGTTGGTGGGGGAGAGAAATAGAGAGGAATTAGAGAGATACAACAGCACTGGAGGTGAAGAGCAGAGTCCGCTCTCCTCCTCCTCCTCCCCCGTTTAAAATCTCCTCTCCACTTCAAAAGTAGAGGGTGAAAGTCCTTGGATGGGAGGACACAAAGTGTCTCTTCGCCAGACACTGTCATGCTAGAAGAACAATCGTGCTTTATTAATCTCCAAAGAATGGAGTTCTATCAGGTAGACAAGAAAACATACGGTAAACAAATAGAGTAACATGTTCTACAAGTTACATTCTGTTTTAAACAGATTTTTTTTTTTTTTCACTTTTAATGCTTATCTGTCTTTTACAGGTCAAACGCAGCACTGTATCAGGTCAAAGACAGACTATGGACATGAATAAAGATTACCTTTCGAATGTTTGGGGTCGGTAAATTTGTTATGTTTCTGAGGGTCTCTTATGCTCACCAAATAACTTTTCTATTTTAATATATTTTTAAAAATGATTTATTCTTGTCTTCAGTGTCAAATGTTCCTTCAAAATCATTCTTATATGTTGATTTGTTAAACATTATAATGTTGATCAAAGATTTTTTGTGTAAACAGTGATATTTTTCAGGATTCTCTGATAAATAGAAAGTTAAAATACCAGTGTTTTTTTTCGAAACAGGAATCTTTTGTAAAATTATAAATATCTTTACTGCCACTTTTGATTAATTTAATGCATCCTTGTTGAATAAAACCATTCATTTCCTTCAATAAATAAATAAACCAAAAAAATCTTCCTGCCCCCAAACTTCTAGCCACTTTAGGAAAATACATAAGTCTATACAAGGTCTGCAATGAATGTGTGATGATGACCACTTAACTATTTCCCTTAATTAATATTTCATACTCTCATTGTCATGTAATAATTTTGGTTTCAGATTGCACATGATACTGCAAATACTCTTAACCCTCAAACACATCAGGGGTAGAGATTAATACCATTTTAGTATTAATCTTTTAGAGACTAACTATTTAAGGCATGAGAATGAGAAATATGTCATACAATCAGCAAAATGTGAGGATTCCCGCACTTCTCCAACACTATGCCAACTACCGTTGGTCACAGTGTGATCGCCGCTTTATCGGCTCATTTTGCTGGAAAATCTATATTCTAATAGATGACTGATGTAGCTGACTACAATACGCAAAAAAAGGGGGATTCCTTTGAATAAAATCTATAGCCCATCAGACAGACAGTTTGCAGCACTCTGTCAAACTGAGCTTCATGGCATAACTGAGTTATATGGGTGATACAGGTGGGTGGGTGAAATCATTCAACCACTAACTACATCAAAACAATTACAATCAGTTTTAGGTAGAGTACAAATGACCAAAATTCATCACACCCTATATAGCACTGGAACGATAGCACAGTGCACTACCTAGTTGGACCAAACACTTGCATATGCTATTGTAAAAATGTCAGTTGCGTTATTGAATTGAGACAATAAAGTGATTAGAAATAAAGTTGCAATGAAACCGAATTTGCAACAGATCTTTTCTTATATGTTGTGTGACGTATATCTGAGTGTTATGGATCATCAAAAAAAAATAAAAATAAAAGGTAAAACTTGGTTATATGCATTGTTTGTTAATTGGATTTTAAAATGTGTGCACTCAACAATGGAGGCAGATGAATGCATGTTTGCAAGAGTAGAGTTTAAGTGGACAAAATGGAAAAGTTCTACATATGTCACAAGACAGAATTCTGTCGTTTCGCCAGCAAATTAGTTATATTTTATTAAACGAAACTGTGTAATGTTTTTTTTTTTTCAATAAAATAAAAAAATGGTTAATTTTAATTAAAATTTACTAGTTAAAAAACATGCATGGATGCATGTTTGCAATGAGATCGAATAACATGCATTTACAAATTTGATAGGGTGAATTTTCACAAATTGTTATTTTTAAACACCAATCAACTAATAGACATTTTCATGGACCATCAGCGGTCTGAATGTCCAATGTTTGAGAACTACTGCAGGTCTGCAAATGGTCTACATCCACATGGTAGGGTAGGGACAATGTTGATGGAGTGGCTCTGATATGATGTGGTGCTATTAGGGCTCACCTTCCCACCGGCTCTGCCCTTCTTATTAGGATTTGGGTGAGCTTCCATGCTGTAAAAGACAACACATATTACATTATTTTGATCATTGCTGGAATTAAAAAATATATTCAAAGGTGAATAGGAGAAACTTGTTTGTAACTAATATGCACAGTTTCGGCTGTAAGAGAAAGTAAATGATGGCGACTGTGGCTCGTAACAAAGATCACGCGCTCTCGTCCTGCATCATGCGCAGCTACATTTAAACTCGCTGTAACATGAAGCGCGGTTTCTCTGTTCACTACAACGCAGCTATTTAAAGCTTTGTTAAATCATTTAGCGGTTCGCTTTTGTTTTACTAACCTTGTTCTGAGCAAAAGCTTGTTTGGTTTTGAAAATAGAAACGCGACAAGAAACTGGGCCGAAATAATATAGTAAAGACCCTAGTCCGCTTCCGCCTTTTTCCGGATAAATAAATAAAAGTCCTAAGTATATTTATGTACGTATACTAATTAATTTATTTTAATAATTTACTCATACATTAAATGATATTCAACCATTGATGTCGTTGATATTGTCTACTATTACATAAGTATGAAATTATTGGAGTTTATTAAAACCGCTGGGACACATAAGTAAAGAGAACTGGAATGGAACCACAACCAAAACCTTTATTCTGAAGCAAGCTTTATTCGACTCCCGACAAAGACTGCCGTACAATCTTGATTTGGGACTAATTTGCAGTATCTATATAGACGTTTAAATTAATATAAAATATATTATAAGTGCTTAGATATCTGTATTTATTTAGCAAACATTGAAATAAAAATGCTGCTGTGTTAAATGTAATCAGGCATCTGTTTAGCCGGAGTATTTTCTCAACAGAGGTTGATACATTCTCTTCACACTCCATCACAGTAGGTGGCGGTATGCACCTATGAAGTTGGTTCGCAACCCGCCATAAAACCAAAAGAAGAAGAAGAAGAAGAAGAGCAGAGGTTGATGGACCCCTAATGACTCAACAGCAGCACGCGTGATTATCTGGGGTCAGTGAAATAAATGTATCTTTAGTCTTAGTTTTATTGTGGTATTTGTTTTTAAGCTGAGTAAATGATGTGCAATGGGGTTAATCGCTGATAATTATGGCTGCGTACAGCCACGCTTATGCATACGATCAACAGTCAAATGTCATGCATACGTTATCAAACGTGCAAATGTGTTAATATATATATATATATATATATATATATATATATATGAGAAATGTTGTTCTTGTGAAGTTCTATTTAAACGTACAATTGATATGTAAAAAGCTGGAGAAGACTGAGGATTAAACGTTGCATATTTAGTTTGGTGTAATTTCACATTTTCTTGCTTTTATTTTTTTATATCGATTTTATTTTGTGAATAGCTTAACTAAAGAATTCTGAAGATGATGATGTTTATTTATTCTAAAATGTACATTTTAATTTAATAATACAAAATCCATATTACTGTTGCTTTGTTTTTCTTCCTTCCAGTTCTTTTTTTCCTTTAACGATTGAAGAATGAAAACGAAAAAGCAAAAAAGGCAAGGCGATTTCCAGAAAATTCAGCTAAAGGTTGGCAAAAAGAAGCCAAAAGCAGACAATGCAACAAACGTCAACTTCAGATCAAAAGCTATCCATTTACCAGAGCAGCTAAAGCATGCTGATTCAGGGCCAACAACGCACAGGCAGCTTGACATTAAGGTACATAAAACACACAATGTCACACTTTCCACTGATCCTTATCTTTCGTGGTTTATTATAGGGGTGCAAAAATACATCCGTATGAATCAATGCATCAATCAAATGCAACATAATATTGTAAAGATGCACCTTTATTTTGACTCATTTGCATTGACAGTTGCACAACTGGAGTAACTGGAATTTTTTTTCCACTCTCTCAGGATCTGTTGTCCAAGCTACACCACATCAACAGTAACATAAAGCAGGGAGCTCTGGTGGGTTTGCGGGAGTTGCTGTCAGCTCAGCCTACTCTGATTGAGCTGCATGCATCAGCGGTGCTCTCTGAGGTGGCGGCACTCTTCACCGACAAAGATGGCTCTGTGCGAGCAGCTGCAGTGCGTCTGCTGCGTTTCATCGCGCAGTGCATCTCTGCCGAACGTGTAGCTCCCTTCTTCCCTCTGCTCAGCGCCCACCTCACTTGTGCCATGACTCACATCTCAGAAGCAATCCAGGAAGATGCTCTCCGGGTCCTGGATGTGCTGCTGGAGCACTATCCTGGACTTCTTTCTCAGAGGCATACGGTTCTTCTGACAAATTTTCTAGAGCTCATCTCCCAGAAGCGAAAAGCTGGAACAGGGCAGGATAAATCCGGGAAAGGGGGCTTTGCTCTGACTATCAGCACGAATCGCTCTGTAACAGCACAACAATGGAGACTCACTGTGCTGCTCAGGTGTGTTGCATTCCAAAAAAAATTTAATTCAGCCCTTTTTTCTCCCCATTCTTTCTGTGTCGTTTGCTGTCTTATTATTTATTAATAATTGATGTATTCATTCAGGTTGGGGAGTTTTCTGCAGGCAGTTGTTGAGGAAAGACCTCTGGAGGAAGGTGTGACCAGCATGATTGGCCTTGGAATGTGGGCTGGAGAGAAAGGCTCGGTGACATCTGTGGATGTGAGTTGGGAGGAGCATGTCTTTGGCAAGGGCAGGATCCAAGTGTTTGAAAATTCTGGAGCCGTTCCCACCCCACATTCCACTTATCGGCTAAGGTATGTTTAATTGTTACAGTAAATGATTGCAGACTCATTTCTCTTTCCATTATCAATATGTCCTCCATATAGACAGACTGAATACTGCATGAAAGTTATTTGTTTATATCAGAGGTGCCCAGACTAGGGCCCAATGACATTTGATTTGTCTTGCCGTGCAGTATATCACAAAAAAAAAAAATCCATTTATCAATTTCTAATTTATCTTTTGGTTTTAGCATTTAATTGTCTTATTTTTGCATTGTAAATGTAGAGAATATATTAATTTAACAAAAAACTAAATGCACATTGAGATGCTATTCTTTATTATTAGTGAACAGACAATAAATGGCGAGATTTAGGGAGTGGCACACAGACAAGCATTAAGGTTGTTAAGAAATTTTTTTTGCAAAGTCAATATTGTTTATGCGTATTCACTGTAATGTAAGGTTTGTTGTACAGTAAAATGGCACATTGCAAAGTCATTTTTTAATGTTATATTTAAATAATAAATTAAAGGAATCAGGATTAACCACTTTCTCTTTAATAAAATTCCTTATAGCTAAAGTTTTGACGTAATGCAAGTTTTTGGCCCTTCACGCTTTATCAAGTTTGATTTTGGCTTTTTGTAGTAAAAAGTTTGGGTACCTCTCGTTTATATAGTTAAGTATAAATGTCTATAGCTAGCTATATGTTTTTGTATAGAACAGGGCTGATTAGAATACCAAAAATTTGTCTTCAGTACAATGCCAGCATCTGGTAACTTATTAAATGGATAATTTGGCAACAAGTAAACAGTCTCATGTGACTAGCGAAATGAAACTAGAGCAGGCAGTAGATTCAACAATACAATGAATTTATGATTAATCTCATCATATTTTTGTACTGTAAATGGGTTAATATTGGTGAACAGTGTGATAAATGGTTCCCAATTTATTTAAAATCACATAACATAAAAATTTCTTCAAAGAGAGATTTTATTATGACCTCAGCTAACTGATGAAACCGCATATTTGCTCACACAAAATATCTATTAAATTTTAAATAATTGTTGCAAATGTTTATTTGCGACAGTTATTTGTCACGTCTGCACTAATTTAGCAAATAACATTTACATTTATGCATTTGGCAGACACTTTTATCCAAAGTGACTTACATTGCATTCAAGATATATGCATTTTTGTTTGCTCCATGCCCTGCTGTTTGAACTAGAGGAGCTAATTTGACAATGTTTCACTACACTTTACATACATTTGTAACAAAGGGGATTTTTTTTTGTCAACCCATCTGGATTTGATGTATTACAAATTACAGAATAAAACAGAATGTCAGACTGCATAAACTGGCAAGCTGTCCTGAATAGCAACACAATGTTATCATGGTCAGGTAACAAAATTTGCACAACAGTATTGTCCCATTATATCGCTGAGACTTTGTACTCTTTTCAGTTTGATCAAAAGACAGAAAGGCCATGTGTTTACAGTATACAGCTCCTGGTTACTTTACTTTACTTTACTTTTAGTCATTTAGCAGACGCTTTTATCCGGAGCGACTTACAAATAAGAAAAAGTAATTAAAACTAAAAGCTAAAACTCAATAGATACTATATATATACACACATTTAAGAAAATAAAAGAAATTAAAAAATGACAAATGCATACAACAACATTTCAAAACTAAACATTAAGCTTTTTAAAAATTTGTTTAACAAAACTCAAATTGAATTCAGCTGGACACACTTTCCTGTTTATCACAACAAATGGCCAAGCAAAGCGCACAACACTGAAAAGGTATGCAGTACAGTACAAGACCAAACGCGATTTCAGCACGTCTCCACAGTAAACGACGTGGTTATGTTGGTTTTGTGCAGGCCGGACTCTAAGGCAGTGGCTGGAATGAATAAGGAGCTCTGCTCGGCTGAGACGGTGCAGGGCTTTGCAGGAACCCTGGTGCCTCTGATGCTGGAGATCTGGGTGGAGGCGGCAGGTGGAGATCGTGTGCAGACAGACAGCGGCCACCTGCTCTCAGCAGAGGCCATGGCTCTTATGTTCCAGATCCTCACCATACTGCAGTTACTGAGAAGACTTACCCCACAGAGAGATCAACAGGACATACTGGTACATACACTTAAAATGTTATACAGCCACATAAACCACACATAAATATCACATAAACCCTGTTTCTGCTGTACCCTGCAGGACGCCTGGTTCCGGAATTCATACCTGACAGATTTCAAACACCACTTCATGAAGAACTTCCCCTATGGCCTGCTGGAGGTGGCAAGACACCGGAAGAAAGCTGATGGAAAGAGGTGACCAAAAAGTTGTTTTATTAATGGAAACCGAGAGTGTTTTGGTATATGTAAATTAATGAACCACATTTCATTTTTGTGATTCCAGAAGTTTCAAGAACTGTATGTACTTGAATATTAATTTACATTTAAATTGATGTTTTTTTTTTTAGCGTTTTAAATTCAGTTTATGTATTTTATTTAAAGCATGTCACATTTTATAAACAAAACAAACAAAAAAACCCCTCTATTCCCCTATCCCTCGTATATCAGTTGAACAAAAAGTGTAAAATAATAACAAAATAAAAATGATATACATTCTAAAATAAAAAATGCAGTTCAAATTACATTATAGTAGATTACCCAATTATCCATTATAGTAAATTACACTCTATAAATCGTATTCAAAGCAACCTGAGCTTTTTACTGA